ATCTCCATATGTAGTAATAGAGAGAGAGAGAGAGAGAGAGAGAGAGAGAGAGAGAGAGAGAGAGAGAGAGAGAGAGAGAGAGAGAGAGAGAGAGAGAGAGAGAGCGTGAGAGGCAGAGACAGAGACAGAAACAGAAAGACAGGGAGATGGAGACAGAGAGTCGACAAACCAAAAAAGATATAATGGAAACAGTTGTCTACTTGCCTTCAAAGGAAATAGTCACCGCCCGGACCTCTACCAGCTGAGTAAGGGGAATGGCCTTTGAGAAGGGGAGAGCGTTGATTGGCCCTCCGCAGGTTGATACATTGCCGTCTTGGTACGCACCGCCGCCTTTGACCCAATTGATTTCATCTACACCCAAAAAGTCAAAATAATTAACAAACAAACAAAAAAAACCACCCAAAAGCTCTGTCTGTCTGTCTGTCTGTCTGTCTGTCTATCTGTCTGTCTGTCTGTCTGTCTGTCTGTCTGTCTGTCTGTCTGTCTGTCTGTCTCTCTCTCTCTCTCTCTCTCTCTCTCTCTCTCTCTCTCTTTCTCCCCCTTCTTTTTCTCTATCTATCTTACTTTACTTTACTTTATCTGCCCTCTTGTTCCTCTAGTGCGTCGAGGGGAGAGAGACCTCCCTGTCTCTAGCAAGTTTGATGGCCTGGCCGGGTGGGATATTGTATGTTCTCAGGGTATCCTTCACACCCTGGATCCAGGTCTTTCTTTATCTTCCTCTTGCCTTTTACCCTGATACCTTTCGGTAGTAGGCTTCTCAATCTATCTGCAACTATAAATTTCTGTCCCATCAGTAGCTGTCACTTTTCCCCCATTCCTTCCTTCTTTAGTTTTCTTTTCTGCCTCTATAACATTGTATCTCTCCCCCCCCCCCTTTCCATCTCGCTGTCTCTGTTTCCGCCTCTGTCTCTCTATGGCTGTCTTTCTCTTTCTCTCTCTCTCTTTTGTTATTTTTCTTAGTTTCTGTTTGTGTCTCTGTTTCTCTGTCTCTCTGTTTTTCTCTGTCTATCTCTGTGTCTCTCTGTCTGCCAGCCTGTCTGCATGCCTGCCTGCCTATCTGTCTGTCTGTCAGGCTGTCTGTTTGTCTATTTGTCTGTCTGTCTGTCTGTCTGTCTGTCTGTCTGTCTGTCTGTCTGTCCCCCCCCCCCCTCTCTCTCTCTCTCTTTTTCCCTTCTCTTTCTCTCTTCCACCCCTTTCATCTCTTATTCGATTGGTAATGTTTTCCGCACCGCACCCCCTTTTTAACCCATCTGTCAAACCCCCCCCCTCCAACTTACCATAACTATAGGACAACATCTGATTACCTTTGAGTTGAAATTGAGGTTTTAAAAATCACAGAACACGCCATTTGTCTCACCAAGTATTTTATTTTCGAATTAGTAGCACAATCCCACATTCTACAAACGTTATTGGTGAGTTAAGTACACACATTAAATGTCTTTCATGGTCTGACCCAGATCTGTCGCAAAACTCAAAAAAATGTTTTTATTGTATGTGTCCTTTTCAAACATTGTCCCCATCAGGGGCGGTTTGTTAACTGGACAAGACCGGCGGTGCCGATCAGATTTTTGTCAACTGAACTGTTGACTAGAGGTTTATTGCTGATGACGATTTTCATTCAGTTTTAAGTAAATCCAAACAAACATGTATCAACATTCAAAAACACCTTGCTGATTTGAAGGTGCTCAAATAGACAAGTGGGATTCACTGATGTTTTGTTGCGACATAACCTCATTCCTTCACGTCTGTTATCGCGCCGGCTCGTAACTTTCAATCGTCTCCCGTCAAACCGTCACGTCGCGGAACTTCGTACTACGTACACACGGCGGGCTTG